TCTAATCTTTCCAGGCAACCTTGGTGAATTCCACTGAAGGGGGTTTGAAGAAGAGGTCACTGGGACCACCTTTGATCCCCCCAATACCCAAGACAGGAAGTCTCCCTGTTGGCAGTGCTGCAGGGTCTCTGCGAAACTCTGTCCAGATGGATTTCCAGGAGTCCCAGGAGATGAGGTAAGCCAAGGTGTCTGCTGCTCCAGGGTGCTGTTCACATCTCCCTTTTCATTTTAGGAAATGATTTTCCAAAGTGTCCCATGTATTTAGGCAGACCCCTCTGTGTATTCAGCATTTTGCCCACCTATGAAGGGCCAGCACAATGTCAAACCCAACACCAATGGCCCCAGAGCAGAGGTGGTGGTGGGGAAGAGGAGGCAGGGCTTCAAAGCACCGCAGGACAGTCCCTCTACTGGGCTTGGCTACAGATTCCCTCTGTAATGTTTGTGCTGCCTTTTGGAAGTGTTTTGCATGGGTCTAGATCCTGCAGGCCTTTGAATGTTGTGATCTGTGAGTGTTACATTCTCCTCCCATGAGAATAGGCTTGGGCAAGTATTGGCTACTGGAGAGGTGTCTGCAAATTCAGGTACTGCTTCTGTAAACTTCAGGTGTCATTTCTCTGTTTCTCAGCCTCCACTGTGAAATGAAATCCTAGATAAGTTTTAGGGTTTAGATTTAAAATCTGTTTTATGTTTAATATTCTGTTCTGGGCTTAATGTCAAAGACGGAAAGGTGCTAAAGAAGAGTTATAGGACTTCACCTGATGGAAAGATATTGGCTTGGATATGTTTGAGAATATGTAGCTGTCCAGCTTATCTGAGTAATAATAATAAATAGGGAATCACAGAATTATCATTCCAATTGAAAATCTTTGGTAGGGCTTTTAAAGTGCAATCTGAGTGTCCTTGCATAGCAGCTGAGTTAAAAAGAGCTTTTTTGTTCTGGAAAGAGCCAGGAGGTGTAATGTCATTCTCGGAAGACAGCAGTGCTCTCACCACGTGTAGCACAAGGCTGTCACTGGGATAGCACAAGCAGGCAAAGTCAAGCTCTGGAAGCAGTACAAAAGTCGCTGCCCTGCATACAGACTCCTGTGTCAGCTCAGCAGCTGTGGCTGCTTCAGAGAGGCTGTAGGAGCCACGTGGGTCCAAAAGGAGAGAGAGCAGAATTGGGCAGTTCTGATGCAAGCTGAAGAATGAGTGTTGTGTTTCAGCCAGAGCTTGACCAGCTCTGAGTGACAAGAGCAACTGAAAGCTTAAGGACAATTAATCAGCTTTGCATCTTGTTGTGCATCTTTATGTGTTAGATTTCCTCCTTCAGTGACCATGCTGAGAAAGGGTGCCTCCTTTCATGGCACACTCATTCCCTCCCTTCTCTTTCTACCTCCTCATTTGTTCCTTTGTCCTCCATTTCCTCCAGGCCAAGACCCAGCAGCCGTAGCCAAGACAAGAGCTCTGACCATGCAGGTAGGTACAGGGCATGTCTGTCCTAAAATGACCACTAGAATCTGGACTATGAGGTGACATTTGGAAAGCTTGGTTCAAACCCATTCATTTGAACTTTCCTTAAAATTCCTTTCAATTCCTTGATGGGCTCAGTGGACTCTCTCAAAGCCCAGTCTTTAGGAGGGTTCTCTGGTGGTGCAGTGAAAATTCTGCCAGTGTGAAGTGTTGAGTGGCAGGAGATGGAATGGTAACTTGGGGCCCTGGAAATGCAGTGCAGGAAAAGGAAACATGAAAAGGAAACGTTCCTCTCCATGCTGTTTAGAAGATTCCAGGAAATGTGTGCCATGAAATCTGGAGTTTCAAATGGTTTAGGTTTGCATTGTGGCCTCTGTATATTTTGTGTCTCCACTTTGCAGGCCTGACTGGCTACTCACTTGCCAAGAGGTTTTCCGCGGCAAGTCCCTTGATGCTCCTTCCCTCCAAGCTTCCCATCCCGAAGAGCTCTCCTTCGACCAAGCCAAGCCAGGTTTGCAGTGGAGAGCAGGAGAAGGGGAAAAACATCAGTAGCTGTGATCAGGAGAGTAGAAAACAACAGGGACTGA